TTAAGGCTAATGACATCACAAATAAATGCATCTGGGTCCCAAGGGAACACAGGACTTGTAAGGGACATTCCTGTCAGCTGAGACTCAGAAGGCTGTCACGAGCAGAATAAGGGTGGTACTGGGCATCAGGTAAGAAAAGCCTCTCCACTCAGAAGAGAGCTGTGTCAGAGCCAGCGCACAAGGGTGGCTGGAACAAGACCTAGCGTGTGCTGGCCTGGGTTTGAGCTCAGTCATCGCTAGGACCTGGAAATCTCTTTTCAGAACCTCATTTTTGCTGGGCCTTGAGCTTGAGTGGGAAAACAGGGTCCAGATGGAACCTGGCGGCTTCTGATTGGGAACTGAGGTTTCACCTCCCTGCCTGGGTCATGAACTTACCAGAACTCTCCATCCTCAGTGACCTGGTGCTGTAGACGGGCCTTCTCATCTTTGTCCACAAAGCTCCAGTCCTTCCAACTGATAGGAAAATGGAGGGATTAAGGAAGGAGGAGGAAGAATGGGGGGCCTAATGTGGGCTGGGACAGAGGAACAGAGAAATACTAAGTTGGAGAAGCCCGCATCCAGATCACAGTCAGTCTGAGCCGTCAAAATGCAGCTCCGACCTGCTCCCCACAGTGGAAAGGCCTATAATCATTTCCTGCCACCTTCAATACTAAGACCACACTCCTTGAAGGGGTTCACAAGCGCTTCACTGTCTCTGGCTGAATCTTCTAGCCTCCTCATTAAGAGTTCAATTCTGCAAATAGGCAAACCAGGATTCTCCTTTGATAACAGACAGCGGTGTCCTTCGATAGGTCACTTGATCTGTCTGTCAGCTTCGACTTCCTCAGTTACCAAAGGGAAATATTGCATCACCTACCCAGGAACTATGGTGAGTTCATGAAATAACTCATCAAAACTAAGAAAAGATCCAGCACATCAATGGCTCTTCTTTCCAGCCAGGAAATAGCATGGCACTGTTTCTAAGACTGGATGCTTTTATACTTTCTCTTCCAGAAAGAAGAAGTAAGCACATTTGTGCCTCAGGCTCCCTGAGTTAGAATTAAACTAAATGGGGTTCAGGGTGTGCTTGGAGTTGGGGTGCCATGGAGCCAAAGTGGAGATTTCTAGGAGACATGACCCCCTCATTCAGCAGCTCCTGCAAGAGAGGAGTCAGTAGGAAGTGTGTTAAGGCACCAGGTTAGCCTGGAAAACACGGCAAGGTCATTGTGGGTGACTTGGACTAGCGGAAGAGACAATGACGGGAGACGGAGGGCCTCCCACAGCACAGAGTTCACGCAGCACTACCCCCAAGTAACCCTCCCCACCTAAAGCTCCCACAGCGCAGAGTTCACGCAGCACTACACCCCACCTAAAGCTCCCACAGCGCAGAGTTCACGCAGCACTACACCCCACCTAAAGCTCCCACAGCGCAGAGTTCACGCAGCACTACACCCCACCTAAAGCTCCCACAGCGTAGAGTTCACACAGCACTACCCCCAAGTAACCCACCCCCCCTAAAGTATGAAGGGCTCTATCTTTGTGATCCCGCCTCTGAACCTTAAACCTCAGGAACAAGTCTGTGCTTCCGCATTCCTCTCTACATCCCTAGGAGCATACTGTCAGCCCCAAGAAAGGAATTGCCACTTGGATGAGTGAAGGGGTAGGAATGACGTGAGTGTAGGAGGCAGCAAGTTCACAATCAGCATCTTGTGGGTCGACTGAGAGATGACTTACTCATAGACTAGCCTAAGAGCTCAGCCCTCCGCCTCCTAGTTAGTAGGTGGTCAATAAACACTTGCTAAGCGAATGAATATGTGGCTGACAGACTCTGGAGTGACGGTGTACTGCTACAGTACGTGTAGAAGTCTGTCAGAACAGAGCCCTACAGGGCCAGGGTGTGGGTCCGGCCACTGTTGATCAAGTCTTACTGTTCAAATGCAAAGGGCTGCCTGTCATTTAGAAGGGACAACCTGGCCTCAGTGACTGAGAGAACCCAGAAGGGCTGTAAAGTTCTGGAGCCTCTGATGACTCCTCAGGTGGTTGTCTTGTCTTTAGTCTATTCTTTTCAGAGGTAAGCAGTAAAATTCTTTCACAGGCCGGACTGTGGTGGCGCACGCCTTTAATCCCAGCACTCTGGGAGGCAGAGCCAGGTGGATCTCTGTGAGTTTGAGGCCAGCCTGGTCTACAGAGTCAGATCCAGGACAGGCACCAAAACTACATGGAGAAACCCTGTCTTGAAAAGAAAAAAAAAATCTTTCACAGGACTTCTGGGACTGCATATATGCCTCAGTTAAGCACTTTCCCCGGCGTCTCATACACTCCCCATAAGAGCCACCACAAGTGCTGGCACTGCTTCTATTTTACAGAAGAGGCGAAGAGATACGAAGAAGGAAATTGCCTGTTTAGCCCAGAACCCTGCACTGAGACTCTTCTGGAATCATTCCGTTTGCTGGGCAGTAGTGGTCCACACACCTTTAATTCCAGCACTCGGGAGGCAGAGGAAGGTGGATCTCTTGAGTTCGAAGCTATCCTGGTCTACAGAGTGAGTTCCAGGACAGCCAGGACTACACAGAGAAACCCTGTCTTGAACCCCCACCCCAAAATCATTCCTTTCAAGTCTATAACCATCATTCCCTGTCCCCATTTCCACCTCCAGCCCTTTTGGGGAGCCCACACCTGTGCTTCTCTGCACGCCATTGGTTTGGGGGTGATGCCACACCAGCACCAACAGTACTCTCTGATTTGGTACCCAGCCTGCGTGGCCTCAGGCTCCGTGGCCCCGTGGTCTGCCTCACCTACCCATCACTCCAAGAGCCGTTCCACTCCACCTGGCCCCAGGGGTTCCGCAGCCGAACCAGCTTCACCTTCTCGCCTTTGAACAGGGCCTGGGGCAAAGACACAACGCTCTGAAGCTCAGGAGCAAGTTTGGAAAGATGGGGTGTCTGACTTGCTCTGAGGGCTGGGGTGGAAGCTGAAAGAATCCAGTGTGAGAGCTGCCTGCCTGCCCCTGGCCTGGTGGACAATCCAGAAGCTTGCTGACAGGGTGAGGACTCTGGTCATTGTATGTGTGGGCGGCAGGGATAAGCATCTATGGTGAGGCTCTAGAAACATAATAAGTATTTCTGTGTGGGTTTTCCTCTATTTCCCTTTTATTATTGTTGTTCTTTATGTGGACGTATGAGTTATGTGCACCACATGCCTGCGGGTGCCTGAGCAGGCCAGAGGCTGTCAGATCCCCGGAACTGGAGTTAGAGATGAGTGTGAGCTGGCTGATGGCACCGGAACCAAACCCAGGTCCTCTGGAAGAGCAAAAAGTGCTCTTTACTTATTATAAGTGCTGAGCCACCTTTCCAGCTCCTGTTTTTAGTATGTGTGTATGTGGGTGCATGTATGTGCACATATGTGTGCGATGTGAGGGGGTGTGCCTGTGTCTCAGCGCACACGTGTGCATCAGAGGACAACTTTCTGGAGTCCGGTCCTCTCCTTCTATCGTGGGTTCCAGGTTTGAACTCAAGTCTTCAGGCTTGTTCAATAAGTGCTTTGACCAACTGAGTCACCTCACCAGCCTTCTGTGTGGGTTTTTAAAAAGCCTCCTGCTGGCTAAAGTCCAGATGCCTGGTCTAGACGGACCAATTAGAAAAAGATGCCCAGTCTCCAGTCACGTGCAGTGGGGGGTGCAGACACAGCCTCCTTCAGCCCACTCGTTTCTTCAGGGCATAAAAGGCCCAACTGCGTGTTACAGCCTCACAATGGTCCTGCCTGGGAAATGACCCAGGAAACTTCAGAAACCCCACATAACATAAGCCTCTGTGTGTTTACTTGGAGGACGCTAGTAGGAGAGATTTTTCCTCACCACCGGCAGGCCGGGACAACTGGCAAGCTCTTTGAGTGGTGAAGGAGGAGGTACAGAAATTTAAGTCCTGACTTTCAGAGATGAACTCAGCTGTGTCTCTACGCCCCGCCAGACTCCACACGACTCACCTCCTCCAGCCCAGTGACTGAATAGGCATGACCTTTCACCAGCCCACAGGCCATTCTTGTTTCATACTGCACAGGAACAATCGTCTGCAGAGCAATGACCAGACAGCCTGTCAGGAGTTGGGGCAAGAAGTTCTACCCCTGCTCGGAGGCAAGGGTTCATATTGGTTCATCTCTGAGTTATCTCAGACTGAGGATGGCTCACTTCCCTGCCAGGACGCCTTATGGCCAGGATCAGACCCTCACTGGTTTTCTGAGAGCAGCAGGAAGATGCAGCCTCAGACTCCTAGCTCATCACGCTGCCCTGATGGCCAGAGAGCAAGGTGGGTACTGGAATAGAAGATGAGTGAAAGGATTTGTCCCTCCTTTCTAGACCCCCTCAGAGGAGCACAGGGGACATCTAGGGTCTATCTGCCTTCCCCTGAGCCCATGCACAGTTGACTATTCCCAAAAGAAGGAACTGAGAAATAAAACCTACAGATCTAAACTTTTCTCTTGACATTACCTCACTTCCCTCACATTTACCTAGAACATGGAAGTCAGGAAAACCCCGTCCCTACTCCCAATACTGGGAATACAGGACGGTTCCCTGCTGAGGCATGACTACACCTGAGTACAGGGAGCGCTGTCTCAGTTCAAGTGGTAGCCTGGAGGGTTCTTCGGCAGAAGGGTAGATTAGCAAGGGTCATTGAGTGCTCCACGGGTCCCTGCACCAGGGGCCTGGTGACAGCAGCTTTGGGGGAGCCTCTGAAAGGCACGTGGGTTTGAATTCCACGTCTTCTTCAGGGTGGCGGGTGTAGAGTCTGGAACTATATTTTAGTCTCTTAGATTTCATCCCTCATTTGACCTAGACTCAGGCAGAACACTCACTGGTCTCCAAGTCTATACCTCGGCGGAGGCTACCTGAGATGACTTTTGGCTCTACACAACTTATCATTTTGACCCTGCAGTTTTACTGTTGGGGTTTGGTCTTATAGAAGCCATTGTGGGTGTATACAAAGAGGTCTCCATTGAAATGCTTATTATAGCACTTCTGAAAACAGACTTTTAAAAAAAACCCTAACTTTTCAATAACAATATTAGTAAGTAAATTATAACATATATGCACATTAGAATATTGTACAGCTACTAAAATGATATAAAAGAATACTTAGTTACATTTAAAAAAATATGAATCTGACCAAAAACAAAAGAAAAAGGAAAGGCAGGGTGCAAAGATGTAACATATAATAAGACACAGTTTTAAAGACAAGAATATAGCTTAAGTATGTTCCCAGAAAGACCATATACCAAATGCTGGGCAGTTATCTTTAGGTGTGAAAATACAGGCTATTAATTTTCCTGTGGGTTTTTTTTGTTTTTTTTTTTTTGTTTTTGTATGGTTGAGTCCTTCAGTAACATGTGTGCCTTCCAGGTAGGAGGATGTAAGCTCTGTAGGGCAGGGCCCTTCATTCCTTTGGGAGAATGAACAAGGGGGCACTGGCTGCTCTGGGGAGCTGACTTCAGGGTGGGACATGTAGGTCAGGGGGTGCCGGTCAATTTTGACAGCTGGAGATGTACACACCCTTGACGGTCTGTCATCTGAGCCCCTGGGGTCGAGGTCTGAGTCTCTGAGCAGCGAGTTATCCATATTTCTCACCATCCGCGCAATCAACTCCCCCATGTTCAGACCCGAAGGAGAGGTTCCATAAGTCATGTTCGTACCATCCTGAGGCCCGATGGGAAGGAGGTGGAGAACCCAGGAAAGAGAGAGAGAGAGAGCAAACAAAGGGGAGGGGGGAGACAGGAGAAGGGAGTGACAGACAGAGCAAAATAGGAGATAACAACAGGGCACAAGAGCAGAAAAGATGCCGGAGAGGAGAGTGACAGGGGAGAGCGCTCTCCTGTGTGGCATGACTGACAACCAAGCCATGGCGGGTCCTCTCCCTGTTCCTGTCTCAGTTCAAATCACCCTGATGCATTGAGAGAGGGACTCAGGGATCGTCCAGACATCAGCACACAGCCCAAGGACTGAGGCGAGGTCAAAGCTCCGTGGCTAGGGAGCGACTGGCCATTTCTAAGAGGAACAGTGGGCATAGGTCCACAGCCAGAGATACGGCTGGCTTCGAGGGCGTGCTTGCGCTGAGCAGTCTGGACACAGGAGGCCTGTCAGAGGAGCCTCTAGACCTATTTCTAACTGAATTTTAGGGCTTGGAATGTCATCGCTCAGTCTTTTTATTGAGAACTACCCCTCACCCCCAGGAATACATTTCCCTTGAAAAACTGTCAATTTTAAAGTCAAGCAACATTCATGCTCTTTTTTTTTTTTTTTTTTTTTTTTAAAGCAGGATCTCACTATGTATCTCAGATTGGCCCAGAAATAACAATCCTTCTGCCTCAACTTCTAAACTGCTGGAATTACTGGTATTTCCTTTTTTTTTTTTCTTTTTAAATCATTTCTTTAGTGTAGGGTGGGATACACGCAGAAGTCAAATGACATGTTGTGGAAGCCCATTCTCTTTCTGCCCTGTGGATCCCAAGGATCAAACTTAGGGCCTCAGGTTTAGCAGCAAGCGCCCTTAGCAATGAGCCATCTCACCATCTGGCTCTTGCTTCTTAAAAAGAAACATTCACCCGACCCCAGAAGGAAGCTGTGTGCGGTGAAAATAGAAGGCTTCCCAGGAAGCAGACTTACATCAATGGAGCAGCCCATGAGGGACCCTCTCTCGATGGCTTTCCTCATGATCTTGTACATGTCACTGGGAGCATCCTTGATCTCAAAAAACTCTGTCACCCCGCCTGTGAAGTCCTCCATGGCTTCTGTGGTGTTGCCACCTTTTAGGGCTTCATAGGAACCGTGGAGCCTTGGAGAGAGGACAAAAGCCAGTTTAGACTCTAGGAGTCTCAGCTAACTTAACACAAGGCTACAGAGAGCCAGGACACCGCTCTGTCACCACTCTGTCACCACACTGTCCCCACTCCCCCAAGACACTCTTCCATTGTCCGCTAAACCGAGCAGCAGAGGCAGTGTCTAAGGTAAGAGACAACTTGTCTGAGCTCCAGAGATGCAGTGAGCTGATGCAAGATTCAAAGCACCATCAGGAAGGCAGGATCAAAGAGCACACATCTTTGTTTCTCCTCATTAACTTTATGTTTTTTCAGATAGGGCTCCTACTGCCTGGACCTGATCTAAGGCTGACTCAGGGTCTTAGTTGAACACTACACAAGAGCATGTATACACATGCCTGGTCCAACGTGAGTGAGCCTCTGGCTGAATCCTCAAATCCATATTCCCACCTGCAGTCTTGCCTCCCATCCTAACCATTGTCTTACTTAGCATAAGCCTTCTCCAGCAGAGCACTCCAGAACTCATTGCGGTGGTTGGACTTGGTGAAAACCAGCTGATTGTTGTATGTTGGCAGACAGTCATCAATAACCACATCTACCCAGTCTCCATAGCGCCAGAACTGTAAGAAGTGAGAAGCACAGTCACACTCATAGACTGCCTTGACCTGAGTCCACATCCTGCAGCCCTGAGCCTCAGATACCATTACCCAGGCTTTGCACCTGAAGCTGGCTTTGGAGTGTGTGAATCTATCTCTAACTCCACTGTGAGCTGCTGGAGGACAGAAACTACATACCACTTAGTGTCTGCTGAAAGCCCAGCCCAGTTCTGGACACACTGTGAGTATCTTAGGACCTGAGACTTTCCTCCTTTGCCGAGAGGTCTGGGACAAACCTGCTATAAGCACTTTCATGTACCCCAAGTGATTCCAGTGTGTGCCCAGGATTGAGATCTCATGATGTTAGGTTGGGCTAACAAGTATTCCCCCACCCCACTTCCAGCCCAGAATTTGTCTCTGCGCCAAATGATCACTATCCAGAAAAGTTCTACTGGATTTATTAATTCTAGAACCAATAATTTCAGGTCTGGGTCAAACTAGCAACTAAATGCCCAGATGACTAGATTTTTCCCACAAGGCCTAGAAAGGCAAATGATAGACTTGGTGTAGACTCTGCTGTCAAGGGTACAGAACACAGGAGCTGCAGTTCACGAACCAGGGATCCCAGTAAAAACCCAAAGGATCCCACCACTTTCAGAGCAAGCGTCTTAAGAACCCGTTTGAGGGGCTGCAGGCAATAACATGGCAGCCAGCCAGCTGGAGGGCAAAACTAGACACACAGGCCAGAAGACAGGATGCCTTCCTCCCGCCCTCTTTGGGGCACAGTGGAAAGTGTGGAAAGTCAGGGTACAGATAAACAGCTGCCTCCTCACAGGCTTGTAGCCGTCAAGGGGGTCACTGCCCACAGGTAGGTGTATGGACCCTTTCCTGGACCCATGGGGAGGGAGGTCAAGGCCAGGAGACCAGTGGTGGGTAGATGGGCTATGTGGTGATATAATTTTCTGAAAATATCTCTTGACTCCAAAGAGACTGAACTTTTTCTGGGTCTTGCAGCCAAGTTAGTAACACGCCTTGAGATCATTTAGGACGGTGTACTTAACCCTGCTGTCCTCCTCTGTGCTCGGCCTGTTTAAGTTTAACTGGCCTTTAAGAGACCAGCGTAACCAACCTCATTATGCTTTGGATTTCCCATGCAGTCAGCCTTTACAACCTAAGCTAATGCATAGTTTTAATCTTAAATTATGTACTCCCCCATGCTCTGACCCAAGATTATGTATGCTGTGGAAATAATTTACCAAAAGCAGCCAACAGGTTGGAAGCAACCTTAACCAACAAATATCCCATAAATGTTGGAAGCAACGTGTCGATATAGGATAGAAGGGTTGTGGTTTTTTGAGTGCTATTCTGGGTGATTTGGGGTCAGTAAAGTAACTTCTTTCCTTGTAAAAATCTGTTCAAGATTACTGCAAAGAATATCTCATTCCTTTCCCATACCATGTTTTCTGTGCTATTCAATAAATACAAAGCAAAGCCCTCTGTTAGAGGCAGGCACAGATTCAGACAGACAGACAGACAGACAGACAGACACACACACACACACACACACACACCAGACATATACAACAGGCACAGATGAGAATAGACACAGGTATGACAGACAACATACACATACATCAGATACCACACACAGGCAACAAGGACAGACTAATTACACACATACAACAGACAGACTACACCAGCCAGTGGCATACACTTTTAATCCCAGCAGTCAGGAGGCAGAGTCAGGTGATCCCTGTGAGTTCGAGGTCAGCCTGGTCTACAGAGCAAGTTCCAGGAAAGACTCCAAAACTACACAGAGAAACCTTGTTGAAGAAGAAGAAGAGGAGGAGGAGAAGGAGGAGGAGAAGGATAGAAAGAGAAGGAGGAAAAGAAAGAAGGGAGGGAGGGAAGGAAGGAAGGAAGAAAGAAAGAAAGGGAGAAAGGAAGGAAGAAAGAAGGAAGGAAGGAGAGAGAGAGGGAGAGAGAGAGAGAGAGAGAGAGAGAGAGAGAGAGAGAGAGAGAGAAAGGAAGAAAGGAAGGAAGAAGGAAGGAAGGAAGGAAGGAAGGAAGGAAGGAAGGAAGGAAGGAAGGAAGGAAGGAA